TTTGACTTCAAATTCTTCAATATAGTGACGTTCTTGAATCTAATTGGATTAGTGATATGAACATCAGTTCACTTTACGCAACTGCTTAGGACTTGCTAACTTCAAGATCTTATTTTAACTAAGCTTATTGAAATTGCTTTACAAAGGTTTCCTGTAATTCTACAGAATATGGAACATAATCTCAAAGTGTGCTTTACTTTAGATCAAACTCCTCATTCTCTTAAAAGAATTTTACTTTATTTCCAAAGCTTTTGCCGAACTCAGTAAGTCTCTTTTCAAAGACCACCTTTGACCATAACAGCTTGATACTTTTTAAAAAATTCAAGTTGACAAGGAATTTTTAATATAAAATTTTCACTGAAATCTTCAAGACATAAAAAATTTAAAAAAAAATACATTTTCATAAAAAATTTAAAAAAAATACATTTTTATAAAAAATTTATCAAACAAAAAGCTGTCGCAAAGCACAAAATCCCAAGAGATCCTAATGCATAGCTTTATGCTACCTTCTTCAGTAAGGAGAATACAAAAAAAATTATGTTAAAGTAGCCAAAAGCCTCACCGAGTGGAAATCATCCTGTAGAGCATAAAAAGGAAGGAATAAAAAATGAGCTAAAATTTCCTTCAAATGGAATTCTTCAATTTTGAAAATGAAAAATAAAATAAAATAAAAAAAATATTCTTTTGTGTTGATATGATCTGATGTATATACACATTCACATCTATCCCACTTGGGATTCTCTCTTGCATAAAGTCAAAATAAGAAAACTTTCGTTTCTTGCTCCCCTGCTCGTAATCTTTAATTTGAAATATGAATATATATGTAAAAGTATTTTTCATTGTATGCTATATGATTTTCTTATGTCGCTATAATACACTTTATACTTATAATGATGACATTTTTTAAGAAAAAAAAAAATATGAAGGCAGGCTGAAGACATGAAATGATGATGATGAGTGAGGATGAAGACATGAAAAAAGAATCTTTTCTTATTATATTCCTCATTCTTCTCTCGTTTCTCGCTAAATACCATTCCATATCATCTTGATGACATGGCAGTCGAGGCAGCATGTAAAAGTCGAAAGATGAAAAAAAAAATTATTTAAAGCAATTTCAATTGTCTGAGAATTTTTTTAAACTTCTTCTACATTACGAAATAAGCGGCATGATATATATAAATTCTTCATCCCTTCCCCCGCTCATTCTTGCCACAAAGCTGAAATGCGGAATGAAGTAGGAAGAATAAATGACATCGATGTGTGAAAAGGGAGGTCTGGAAAAATATTGAATGACACTAATGGTATGCAAAAAATGAAAATCGCTTTTGCTTCAGTTTAATAACAGCAATAACAAGTAGCAATAACAAAATTCTTTCTTCTTAATGTCTCGTTTTTAAGCAAAGGCTGCAATTTTTTTTTCTGCTGTTTTGTTAAGTGCTGCTTGTGATGTTATTTAGGTATAATGACTCTTTGCTCTTGTTATTATCATACTGACAGCATCACAATAGAAAGAGACGGAAGTACTTGAAGTGCAAATCAGATATAATATCTCGTAGATTATTGTGAGATTTTTGGATGCAGATGCTGATCATCTGCTTGGTTTTTCAGAGGACAGTCCTCTTTTTTCTCAAAATTTGTTCTAATTATTCCAGAAAACGAATAAAATTGGTAGACAAGTGGGATGTCCTCTCCTTTACTTTCAGGGCCTTTTTTTTCCAAAAAAAGATATCTGGTCACCCTATGCATAACTTGAGTGTTTTTTTGTTGAGATTTAAGGCTTGCGTGCTTTCAAAAAAATTCAAAAAATTAATTTGAGAATCTTGAATGGTTTTTTTAAAGATTTTTTTTAAAATTGTTAAAAATTTTGAAATTTGAAAAAAATCATAATTTTTCCATTGCACAATTTTTCACGGTTTTTGAAGTCATAAATCATTAACATACATAACATTATTTCAAACTTTTTCACGGCACACAGTTTGAGAACCACTGGTCTATACCGTCCACTTTAGTATTATTTGAGAATTTTTGTTTGAAAATTTTATTTACACAGAGTGGAGGAGGGTTGGGGGGTCTGAAAATTCCATTTTTGATGGATGTCTTAAGTGACAGACTTCATAAGTTACTTCAACAGATTCCAAAGAAAATGTTAAACGTTAAAGAAGAAAAAGTCAAATTGCAGAGCGACAAATTTGAAATTTCCGGTTGTTCCTGCATATACATATTTTCGCCATCTCGTCTCTTTTTAATCTTATTATAATATGAAGAAGAAAATATGCTGAGTCTTACCAGAAGGAATTGAGATGACATTTACATTGTTGTTGATGCTTATACTGTTGTTATTACACACATTTAATATATTTAACATGCAGAGAGGTTTTATCAATGCTTGTTGTTGTTGATGATGATAATAATGAGGATGTCTTTATACATGTTTTCTTTCCTTGATTTAAAAGAGGATTTCGTCTCTCAAGCTTTCTCAATTTTCCTTTTGTGCTTCTGACATTTTTCGTCTTCTTCTGTTGAATGCTAAACAATGATAAAAGAAGATTGTATCATATTACATACAGCGAAGAAATAAAAATATGTAATTGAAAAGTTGAATCAAAAATTTCTTTACTTAAGTCAAAGAAGGAAAAAGTGACAACAATGTGATCTTGAAAAAAAGTTTTCATCATGAGGATGTACTTGAATTTAAACAAAAGATAATGGAAAATGAAACTTTCTTTGGAAGACAAAGTAAATATTTTAAAATTTTAAGAGGTTTTTGAGATAGAATTTGAGTGATTTTTTTGATTCTTTTTGTCAGTACTGATGAATTATTAAGTTGTTTTGATGGAGCAACAAAATCAATAAAGTAGCTTGTGATGATGGCAATTTGCAGTTTAGCGAATGATGATTCGCCAAACCATAGCATTCAAACCTATATCCGCTGTTGATAAAGGGATCCCAACCACTCTTTTGATGACATTAGTGCCTGTAGCCTACAAAAGAAGGCTGTGTCCCATGCTGAGCCTCGAACCCATAATCGATATGTCGGTTTTTGCAATAATTAGGTACAGAAGTACTAAACCATTCCGCTACCGAGCCACTTCAGCTCGGGGTGTTTCAAAAAACTATTTTTATGGACAACATTAATGAGTTTTTTTTTTAAAATTAATTAGTCATAGCTTTAAAAGCTAATGAGCTACAAAAAATGAAGAAAATGGAATCTTAAAATAATTTTAAACTTGTAACGAAGGTCTGCGATCAACAAAATATTCAATATTGCACAAAAGTTAAAGGTTGTTTATAAAAATTAAGCAAGAACCGTCTACCTTCCATGTAGCACGTAATGAGGGAGAAAAAAATAAATAGGTCACGGTTGAGTGAGCAGATTCATTAAAAACAGATGAGGAAAAAAAACTTAAAGTTTTCTTCAACTTTTTTTTATAACTCGGCAAAAAAAAGTTTTGTTTTAAAGACAACAAAAATCAATAAAGCTTTACTTTAAAAAGAATAAAAAAAAATTGCATAAGTATAAAGTCAATAAATTCGATATGTTACAAGGAAATATGAAATATCATAATTTAAGGCTGATTCATGGGATGCAAACACTTTGCACAACATTTGTTACCGAGAAACTTTTCATGATAAACATAACAAAAAGTAGCAATTCCTCAAAAAAAATAAGTTCAATCAAGATGTTTATACTCCCGCGTGTATGTGCTTGTATACGCAGCATACATGTGGCTTTTTAAAGAAAAAAAAAAAGTTTAAACAGAAACAAAAATTCCAACAAAGTGTTGTCACGAGAGCGAGAAAGATGGAAAGTGCGGCAGGCAAAAAAAGGCGGAAGTGAACAGCAAATAAAGAACCAACAAAAGTTTCCTTCTGCCTTTTTATTCTTTACGATCTCAAACACATCTCACATTTCACAATTTTTCTTTCCCTTTTCTTCTCCTCTCTTGGGTTATGTGGTGCCGTGGCAGATGAAATGAAGAGAGGCAAGAAAAATTGTTTTAAAGTATTTCTGTTTTTGGTATAAAGAAAAACATGGAAAAAAATTAAATATAAGAAAAAATAAATAAAACTTTTGGCAATACGTCTTGCCACTCGCTTGTCTGGGAGAAATTTAATATTAACTGTGTATTCCGTTCTTAATTTGGTGGAATTTTTTTGCCCGTTAAACAGATCATTTGACATGGAATTTATTTACTTTAATGATGCCTTCACTTAGTGAAATGTCTATTAAATGAATTTTGAGTAAGGCTGTTGGAGGTCATTTAGGAATGTCTGGGTATTTTTTGCTTATTTAAACTATGCGTAGTTCTGGTTACTATAACACTAGGTTTTGATTGTATCTCTGCAGATCAGGGGCGTAGCCAGGATCATGAAGAAAGGGGGGGGGGCAAAAAAATTTTATATGGAAAATTCAGAGGGAAGGGGGGGATTTTTATGATTTTTTCATAAAACTCCTAGCAAAATGAAGAAATTTCTGCTATCATCGGGAGATTAGTCCCCCAAATCCCCCCAGGTTACGCGCCTGCTGTAGATAGAGCTCAAAACAGTGCTTCTCCATACCTATGAGTCACTATTTTAAATATTACGGGAGGAAAGTCCTGTTTTTAGTTTCTTAAAGCCAAATCATAAAGCTCCAGCCTTAGATCATAAATATAAGCCCCTTCTTCCCATTGTTGCTTTACTATTGACAGATTAAGTAGGACACTGACTATTCTTAAGATTTTGTTTGAATTTTATTAGCACAGATGTTTCACTTTCACCACAAACTAGTGAACCTTGGCATATAGTTTAAGAATCACAGATCTAGAAAGCCCGACTTGTACCCTAAGTTGTCTTATGAAGTGTCTACCTCGATTTGAAAATATCATCGTTCAAAGAAAAATTGAGATTTTATAAATAGAAATAGCATCAAAAAATCCATCAAAATACGTCCTATTAATAATAATTCACTTCCATACAGCCTAGCAATAACAATCAATTTTTATTCCGGATACTTTCAGTTGAGTCATATAACGGCAGCTCCCTTCGTCTTATAAAACTGGATAGAAGACAAATGGGCCCATATTTATGTATTGCGAGCAACGATGTGCCGCCCGCTGTGTCTAAACGTGTGATGCTAAGTGTTCATTGTAAGTATGAAAGCAGAAAAGAGTGGAAAGAAGATCTCTTAAAGAATTTTAAAGAGATGAAATTTTTTTTTGATATTTAACCTTCCTAATTCCTTTTTAATAGTTTCGCCCACAGTTAAAGCTCCATCACAATTGTTGGGCGCACCATTAGGATCGGATGTAGCACTCGAATGTCAAGTTGAAGCATCACCCGCGCCAGTTTCATATTGGTTGAAAGGTGGGCGAATTCCACTTAATGGTTTTATCGGCGGTGTCAGTACGGAGTCGGGTCAACCACGACCAGAAATGCTTCTTGATGGGTAAGGCATATTCTTATCAATTTTGCTGCCAGAAATGCATTTAATTCTCATAAACTAAACGTGTCTTTTGCAGACCAAAGTATGGCATCACCGAGCATCGTCATGGCTTTCGTGGAACAATGAGACTAATTGTGAGAAACTTTTCACCATCAGATGTTGGGACGTATCATTGTGTAAGCACAAATTCTCTCGGGAGAGCCGAAGGCACTCTGCGACTTTACGGTAAGTGAAATTTACATTTCTGCTCTTCCGTTTTTTGAATGCTCCAACAATCCTTTTTATATGCTTCTGTACCAACAATGCTTCTGGCATACTCCTCCTCCCTCTTTTTTAAGCTAAAGAGGATTTTACTTGGAATAAAAAAACAAAAATTCATTCAGCTAATCTTTGTACTTGTATGGGTATATTTGCTGTATAACATTGCATTAATTCCCATCCCATCTCATCATTCTGTTCTTTTATTTTTTAATCTTTTTGTTTATGAAAGGTTAGATAACAAATTATAATTTAAATATTTTATTGCCATATCTGATGAAATATGCATGAAATATCTTTACTGCAAGCTTTCCGCGAGCATTGGGAGCATAATATTTTTAGTATTTGTTTTGACCTTTAATATATCATTAAGTATTCTATGTTATTCGGAATTTGAATTTCAGATGGTGACTTTTGGTAAATTCGAATCTTTTATGTCAATGACAAAGGTTGATTTAGATGAAAAAATTTATAAGGGTCGTTGTGAAAAGTTCCAAAAAATGAAGGACCACGGCCTAATTCAATTATTCCGTAAAGCTTTTAAGAAGAAAGTTGGGTCTGAGATTTTCTGAAACTCGTTTTTTCGCGTTACATAATGAGTGAACAGCTCCTAGGAGAAACATTTTAACAAAGCCCACATATTTAAAGAATTTTAAATAAGAACCTAGCCAATTACAATTCCAGAAACCAGTCTAAGAGACATTATGAGTGAGAATTAATTCCTTTATTAAGGAAGCAGGCAGAAATTATTACACATCACACTATAAGTGTCTCAAGTATATGTAAATCTCTTTTAAATGCACTTAAAAAGAATGTTTACTACTTACTTACTTCGCTGGTCGTACAGATCAATTGTGATCCATGACCTCCCTTAGTTGATGCCTATAACTATGCTTTCTCGAAATCCCGGTCCCGACAAATTTTCGGGATCGGGATCGGGATTGAAATTTTTCGGGATTTCCCGGGAAATCCCGGGAATCCCGAATATGTAAAAAAATTTAAAAAACAGCATTTTTCTGCTTTTTTTCCCAAAAAAAATTATATATTTTTTTGCTACTTATACGGTCATTTATTCCTTAATTAATTAGTTATACATTATGTGTTACAAGGTAGATGTTTTAATCCATGTTTCCTTTGAAAAATGTGAACATAAACAAAAATAGAAAATAAATGTTGATAAAGATGTAAGTTTAAAGGTTATAGAAAACGGTGTGAATATAATAATAAAAATTAAGCATTAATGAAAAAACTTTTAACAAATGCAATTGCATTTAGATTCTTGTCAAGTAAACGTTTTCTTTGTTTTGTAAGAATGTTGTTACTAATAGAGAAATTTCGTTCGCTTTGAGTTGAGGTCGGCTGCATTGTTATCAATGCATCGTAAAGTTGATCTAACAAAACGGTTCTCTTCTTATTTTTGTCATACCAATTAAACTCTCTTTTCAAGTTATTTGGTTCTGTTGCTGCTGCATCTGTTGTTAATGATGTATATTCAGATATGCTTAGTTTCAGTCTATCTCGAATAGAAATGTTTGACGGTTGGATTTGATTTGCACTGGATGTTGAAGCTTCCATAGCTCCATTTGTAGAGTTTTTGACAAAATACTTTTTCAATAAGTCAATGCCAAGTTTATGTATTGCAGCTTTTGTTGACGATTTAAAATGCTTGTCTAAAGAAATATATTGAGGTAAAGTATTAAGTCAATTAATGTTCCATTTCTTCGTGCACCTATGCGAGCGCAATTCATATCGTAAACCTTTTGAGACAATAATGTTCCTTGTAGCAACAATTCGTCTAGCAAAAAGTTAATTGTTCCTTCAGCAATTAATAAATCGTCTGATTTACGCAATAATTCTTCTGTCGCGTATTTAGCAGGTTCTAAAACATCAATAATTTCCTAAATTAAAAAACCGGGATTTTCAATCCCGATCCCGATAAATTTCGGGATCCCGGGATTGATCGGGATCGGTAAATCCCGGGAAATCCCGATCCCGATCCCGATAGCGAGAAAGCATACCTATAACTAGTTCTATCGCTGGCTACCGTCTGCCAATTTCCATTACCAAGCGCTACACTGTCTCTATCAACAGCTTCCTTCCATGAGTTCTTTGGTCGCCCACGTGATCTCTTGCCATCTACGAAGTCAGATTTGAAGACCTTATTTAATGGAGCTTCCACAGGTCTCCTTATAAAATGTCCAGCCCATCGGAGCCTGTTCACTTTAATCCTTTTCACTATATCAGCTTCCTTAAATAGCTGGTAAACTTCTGTGTTGCTCCTACATTTGAAAAGGTCTCCTTAAAAAAAATGTTTAATTGAAGTTAATTCTTCAATTCGCTTCGATTTAAATCCAGCACCATGCCAGAGTCACACCGGCTTGGTACCGGATTTCTAATCGATTAATCGACTTGTGCCATTCGGAATATTTTATTTGTCTTAAGTTGAAGTGATCAGAAAAGTAGTTGACCCCAAGAAAACCCCTTTCTAGCTACAATGCTGCCTCTTATTCTCTATATCCTAACATACCTGCTGATTACCACCAAACTCATTAAACATAAATCAAACCATTCTCCAAAATTAATTTTTTTCTGTGTATAAGCATACAAGAGTTTAAAAATTCAATAGAACAATGTTCTTAACACTTATTCATCAAAAACTCGTAGTGATTTCAACAGATTAAGGTTCTTTCACCAAAATGATCAAATATTCATTCCTCTTCTCAAAAGTTTTGTTTCAAAATCCTGAAATGAAAGAAAATGTAACCAAAATAATTTAAAGAATTTAATAATAAATAAGAGTCTGTCATTATCCTCCCTCTTCCTACCCACCAAACAATTTATCCATAATTGTCAAGACAGAAGTCAAGCGAAAAAAATATTTTAAAAATTTAATATGACAGCAATTGTTTTAATTTCTTCATCTTCTCTTCCTTTCGTTTAACACAATAATGACTCTTTCTCAGTTTTCCATTCTATTGCTTCATGCTTTTCCTATTCGTTTCATCTTTTCATTTCTACAATAAAAAATTATTCGTTCCTTTTGTTTCTGTAAGCTCAACTATGCTCATTGTATGCAAGCCCTTTTTGTGCTGTTGCAGCACTTGAAAATTATGAACTTTCAACATCTTTGATACTTAATGCTCTTTCAGTATACTTCTTTACTTTTCTGTGCTTCCTTTTGGCTTAATTTTTTAAAATTGCACAATTCACATTTCACGGAACTTTAGTTTATTAGTTGAAATAATTATTTCGCGTTGGAAAAAGTGCAGCAAAATGGAATTAATCTATTGTTCTTTTACACTTTGTGGAGAATTGCTCTGTGTAATTATTTTGCTGCATTTCTGGTGCGATTCATAAAAAGAAAAGCTATACAAATAATATATGTCTGTACTTGCATTAATCAATCATGTTAACAACTAAAACTACAATTAAATTGCTAAAATATGAAGGTGACAAACTAGACAAAAATAACAAACAATGGAATAGCTTAAGGGTTTAAAATGGTAACACGAGCCGGAATTACCCAAAAAACAACATTGTTAACATTCAATTTTGATTAGAGCTTTTCATCAACATCAATTTCAGATGTACTCAAAGGTTTTAGGTTTGTGGCACCATGACAAAGTTTATGAGGTGGCTACAGCCCATGTGCCGAAAAAAATCAAGAAATCCCACGAATTGCGAATCGTATTCGATTTCGGTCATTGCTTACAACCAAGATGTGCCGTGAATTGTTTAAGGTTTAAAGAGTTGTTTGAGACATGACTTCAAAGATAAAGATGGGTGAAAAAGGCAAATTTTTAAAAATATCGGAATTGACGAGTCATATTTTCTTGAAATAGAATTTTCATCCAATAGAGCAAATATTATGATTTGGCATCTTTCTTAGCATAATTAGTGTTTAGCTACCATGGCTCTGAATTATTGAATATTTTGATGGCAAAACTGATTCCCTTTGAAAATATGAAACAAAAAGCTGTTTTTTAGACAATCTTAGGTGTAGAGCACCGACCTCGAAAACCGCAAGCAGATCTTTTTACTCTTTTTGAGCAAATAAGCAAATTAAGTTTTGTTAAAAATTCAAAATTAACCTACAGAAATATTGCAACACACCAGTGAACCATAGCACACAGTATTTAAAGTCCTGGTCCATTTTTTAGACTTAACACATGAATCGAATGTTTTGTGTCAGATTTTTGTTGCTGTAAATTTGTTAATTCTGTCGATCAATGTTGTTTAACATGTAAAAATGTTGTAGTTTGGACAGCAGTCAATTATTTTATGGATAAATAATTTTTTTAATGTTCAACTTAATTTATGATTTCCGAAATTGGATGTATCATAATTCCAAACTGTGAAACTCATCAAATCAAAAATTTATTTAACAATTTCCATAGCAATTTGCAAGTTCAACTTTTCCAATATCATATTTTATTTACTTACTTGCTGATTTATAAAAGTTTTCTCTAGCAGCATGCATCCTTTCACGTACAACTTCTTAAGTCTCTATCATGTAATAACAAGCAGAAGTTTCTTATTACACAGTTGCATGTATAGTATTAAAAACTCAATAATAGAATTTAAAAAAATTGAAATAAAAATTCAATAGAATGCATGCACTAAAGAGCTGAAATAAAGCTAGTATATTGATTATGATGTTGGCAATATGTGTGATGTCGAAAACAAATAAAATTCTATATTGATTGCTAATAACAGAAAGCTACGTGATTTCCCACTGATTTGAGTGTAGAATAAAGCAAATATAATAATAAGCATTTATATTTATTTCGATGAATATGTTGGAAGGTTTTTTTTGGGAAACTTGTGTCGTATGCTGCTGTCTGCGGTTATTTTTAACTTGTTTGAAGAATATCTGATCCCCGTCCCTCAATCCCCCCATCAAAAAACCTATTTGAAATTTATTTTTCAATGTTAACTTCTGACTGCATCCATAACCTGCTCGAGTCCCAAAACTTCAATCAACATGTAGCACAAACACCCACAAATCCAAAATCAAACACATTTTATTTCATTTATTGTTACTTTTTCATTTCATTTAAATCGATCAATGACTGAATTGAATAAAAAAAGAGAGTTGCATTGCTTTCAGCTGAATACAAAGCAACAGCATGAGATTCAGTCTCTACATGTGTTTTATTTCTC